ACATATTTTTATACATTTTGTCAAATTTCTCGAATACGGGCCATTTTAGGAAAATTTCGTATAGAACAAAAATTATAGACAATAATATAAGAAGTAACTTTTATTTGAAGAATTTTCTTCCCCAAACGTAAATAACAGATATATTCCATAAAATATAAAAATGACCACCTATAAAGTACCCCCCCAGATGTTCTGACTCTGCCCAAAATCTAATCAGTTCATTGGACGCTGGAACAAAGCCTAAGTTTAAAATTTGGCATTTTTCTGTGTATTGGTTCATCAGTTATGGTGGATACAGCACACAGACATCATCGCGAAAATAGTCAAAACGGATTCAGGGGACCTCAAAACGTAAAAATCCGTCGAAAACTCGAGCCCGAAAAATCATGATTCCTATACTTTCCTTATATCTGTATACAGATAGGAAAGTAAAAAGGTTGAGTACAGCTGCTTTGAAGTAAACTAATATCAAAATCATGCAGATCCATAAAAAATAATTTGAGATCATCAGCGAACATTAAAAATTCACAATGCTGTAGACAATCTTTGAGGTTGTTGACAAACAGACTAAATAGCAAAGGAGAACAATGCCCACCCTGAGGAACCCCAGACTTGACATCGATCTCTTCTGACAAAAACTGTCAATTTTTTCCATCAAACTTCTCTCATTATGAAAATTATGTACCCATTTTGTTACATTGTCTGAAAAACCTACATTTTTAATTTCTCAATCAACAACTCTATCAAATTCCTTGGAGAAGTCAGTATATATGGTATCAACGTGATACCCCTTCTCTAAGGCATCTGACAGTTTACTATTGTATATAAGCAGATTGGTTACTGTAGAACGACCTCCCTTAAAGCCATGCTGTTCATCAATTATAATCTCTCTACACTACCAATAATAGTTATACATTAAACTATCGAAAACTTTTGGGATTGAAAACTGTATCGATACACTATGATAGTTTTTAATATCATTTCTTGACCCTGATTTAAATATAGGAGAAACAAAGCTTTCTTTCCAAATGGCTGGAACTACCCTGGTAGCCAAAAATATGTTAAATAACTTACACAAAAGCTGAGATAATGAATATCTACACTGCTTCAAGACCAAATTAGGGATACCATCTTTTCAAATATCTCAGCCACACTTATAACTGGACAGTTAATATTAATTTGGGGTATAGATTTTTCAGGGGGTGTCGCATTTGAATTTGAGAAGACTGTAGCAAACTGTTTAGTAAAAAGTACAGATACATGTTTCAGAATTCGCTTTATACATTTTATTTTTACTTTCAAAATCATCTACATTTTTTTCGAAAAGTCAGCTATAAAATTAGAATTGTATCAGCTGAAAATGATTATTTTAATTTTACATCTTTTCCACTCTATTGACAAAATAAAATACTTTATTATTATTAATTTATTTGATTTTTACTAGTAATGCTGTTGAAATTGGCAAAACCCTAATTTGTCAATTAAATAAAATGCTTACATATCTTGTAATCGTTAATTTTAAACAAGTGTTGTTTTATAAAAATATTTAAACTCAATTCTTTACGAGTTTTGAAAAATTAATATGTTTAAGTGTAGATATAAATAAATTAAGTTACTCTTTCTTTTTCAATCAATGTTCTTATTTTATTTAGGGTCCTGATGGCATGTTTGGTATTCCTCAAGCAGCTATTGACTCTGTGAATCGTAATAAAGTAGGTCTAAAGGGTCCTTTAATGACGCCAATTGGTAAAGGGCACAGATCTCTCAATCTTGCTTTAAGAAAAGAATTCAACCTATATGCCAATGTACGACCATGTAAAAGTTTAGAAGGGTAATTATTGAACATAATTTTTGGTTTTAAAAAATATATCATTGTGTTTTCATCACTGATTGTCTTTTTTATTGCATATTACTATTTAATATTTCAGTTTTAAAACCTTATACGATCATGTAGATGTGGTGACAATTCGTGAAAACACAGAAGGTGAATATTCTGGTATTGAACATGAAATTGTAGATGGGGTTGTACAAAGTATCAAACTCATTACTGAAGATGCATCAAGAAGAGTTGCTGAATTTGCCTTCCAATATGCCAAAAGTAATAATAGAAAAAAAGTTACAGCAGTGCACAAGGCAAACATTATGTAAGTAAAAATTACATAATTTTTCTTGTTTCTTACAACTTCTAAGTTTTGGCGACTCATTGGAATATGCTATATAAGCTATATATCTACACCATCGTGCTGATGAAAATACACATATAAATGAAGACTTTGTTTTACAGGAGAATGTCAGATGGTCTGTTCTTAAGGTGTTGTAGAGAAATGGCCAAAAAATATCCAGAAGTCAGGTTTGAAGAAAGATATCTAGATACTGTATGTTTAAATATGGTGCAAGATCCAACTCAATATGATGTTCTTGTAATGCCTAATTTATATGGTGATATTTTATCTGATATGTGTGCTGGTCTTGTTGGAGGTTTGGGTCTCACACCATCTGGTAACATTGGAATCAGTGGAGCCCTCTTTGAATCTGTAAGTACATATGTAAGTTTTTCTTCATTTTTTATTACACCAAATATTGTTGTAGGTCCATGGTACCGCTCCAGATATAGCTGGTCAAGACAAAGCCAACCCTACAGCCCTACTTCTTTCCTCTGTTATGATGTTGAGATATATGGGTCTAAATGATCATGCCACTAAAATTGAGAATGCATGCTACAGTACAATAAAGGAAGCCAAATTCCTTACCGGTGATTTAGGTGGCAAAGCAAAGTGTTCTGAATTCACAAATGAAATTTGTGAAAAGATAACAAAATCCTAAAAACGTGCTAAGCTTGCATGAAAGCAGTAACCCTCTATAATAGCATATTGTATTTATTCTATTGATTCTAAATCGTTACTGTACATATTAAGTATAATAAATTGTGCTAATAACCAAATTCAAAAATATTGGTTTTGTAATTTAAGTTACAGAGGGTATTAACTTGAAAATGTACTCAGTATTTTTACAAATTAAATTTCTTGTAATTTTTAGGTCTCATGTATTTTTCAAAGAAGTTACCTAGATTATTTTTTATTCACCCTAGAACTTTTTTTTTAATTTATTGTTACGTCCATTGTTGTACTATATATATTTATGTATTTATTTGTGACAAGTCACTATAATATAATTTAACACCCTTTTCTGTTTTATTTTGAGGTCTTATAAAAGAAATAAACAGTTTTACTTGTAAATAATTTGAAAATTCGGAAGCAAATCTCAAAAATTCCCCTACGAATTAAGACCATCCCCGGACCCCAAAGGCGAAAACAAATACTTGTTTGAAACAAACCTGTCATCACCAGACCTCCACGTTTGCCGGACGTGTGCTTAAACGAATTAAATTCGCAATTTTAATTAATTTTTGGAACACTTCCTGTAAATTAGCTTCGTTGTACGAAAGCTTTTTGCTAATAAATATAATACGGTTCCTACTAAAAATTAATTAATATAATATGATGAATTATTTACAACTGTAAACTATCGCTGTCATCCTGAAATCTATTTCGATCGGCATTCCCAACAAGAAGCGATAAATTTTAAAAAATCGTCTCAAGCGGAACGGTGTTAGTCCAGGGATTATGGTAGGATTTTCAGGAAAATGAAGTTTGATTAAAATTCACCTATTTTAATTATCTGTCCTCGATCAAAACGTTGTTTGCAAAGGGATGCAGTTTATTACAGGTTATACAGTGACGGATAAGGGGGCAGTTATCTTCTGATCAACGGTACATCGTGAATTAAAGATTTCACTGATTGTCGGAGTAGTGAAGGGTCTATTGACTCGAGGAACCTTGAATATTGAGAAATTAAGTATATGCTAATGCTGGACTTGGTTCGCTTACGTAACTATTGAATTATTATTTCGGCTTTAAGCAGTTCTATCGTCGAAATCAGACTGCGATAATGCTGGACTGGTCTCTTATGAAAGTTCAGAAATCCTAAAACGATATAAAATTCGGGATTAGTACTTATTTTTTGTCGGACTATAATAAATGATTTCTTTGCTAATATTTAACAGGCGAAGGTCGATCAGGAGAACAACAAAATAAGCCTTAATAGAAAAGGCTAATAATGAGAAGATTCCTACCTTAATTTCACAAAGTTGATTTTTTATAAAAGGTGAATCGCTGTTACTTATTATATCCCCTTGTATCGATGCCACGCTACGCCACTGGAAAAAAATGTCCTTTTGACATCTGTACTGGCATAGGAATTCGTTCCGTGTCGACCATAGACTACTGTGTCGACTGTCGAGTAACTCGATTTCAATCTTTTCGATACGATTCGTAATTCGATCGAATTAAAAAGCGATTTTATAAACTCGATCTGTTTTGACTTCGGAAATTGACAAAATAATGAAGCATTCTCCAACTACTCTAATTTGAACGTTTAAAACTGGATTCGAATTTCGGTAAAGAATTATATACTACTTACAAATGGAAAAATTTAACATAAAATTACCAAGTAAAGCAAGGTTTTCAAGATATTCATTATTTGTTAATAGTTTTGTAAAGTGTGGATTCGTAAATAATATCTTTGGGGACTAACTTTGGGTAAATATTATAACAAAGCCACTAAAACTATTGCGCCAAGATATAGACAACACGTAATAAGTGTTCAAAATGGCGAGTTTTCTATCTCCTTTTAAAAGGCATTCAGAAAGCTGCGCAGTGCGACCATTCTCCGTTACAGGAGTGCGTTTAGAAACCCCGCACGGCGCGTCTCACCACATACATTAGAATAGGGTCCAGACGCGCCGTGCGTGGTTTCTAAACGCACTCCAGAACACTACTCTTTCTCCGTTACAGAACACTACTCTTTCTCCGTATAATAGAAAATCGAAGTATGTGCCTACAGACAACCATTTGGGATGCCTAATGTTTTAAAATCGATTTCTTACGAATATTCGTGATCGAAAATCGATACTAATTTTTTTCATTCATTTTGTCAATGTCATTTCATTCATAAATAAAGTGACAATGTCATTTGGACTGTACTGTGATGGTATTTTTGAAAAATAATATTTTTTTGTTAGTAGTCTTACTTGAAAATTAAGAATCTCTTCAAACTTGGAAAAAAATAATGGCTTTAAATCCACAATACGATGCCATAGGAAAAAGTTTTGTACAACAATATTATATGCTATTTGATGATCCTATCCAAAGACCTAGTTTGGTGAATATGTATAATGTGAGTATTTTCCACCTTTGTTATAGTAGAGGTGCGCTAAACAAAGTATTTATTCGTGCAAAAATTCTCATTTTAATTTGTTGTTGCTATCTAATTACGTTTAAAACTTAAAAGACTAGGTTATGTCTTAGTCTGTAAATAGTGTAAATATCAGCATATCTACCAATTTTAGATTTATACAACACTAATCAATTATCACATTATATAGTTTTAACAGTGTATTAATAGTTTTTTTGATATAGGTATTTTATATATCTACAGATACTGATTTAGATAACCTGTTTCATATTGATAGAAAGTTTGGGAATTCGCTGATATTTCTCTTAACAAATTAGTTTCCAATTCATCAAGTCTTTCAAATATGTTTGGATGCACTAATCAAAGAAATTAACTTTAATCTAACATTTCTTCTACAGAATAATAATTAAGGGTTTCTAAAATGGAAACTCATTATTGACTGAATGTGCAATGATTAAATTTTATGCAATATTAAAAGAAAAATTTATATTTTTTCTGTAATAAAGTTTAATAGTGCTGCCACAGTTTTGTGTCCCAATTTACCAACAATTTTGAAATTGCAAATCATAAGTAGCATTTAGCCAAGGGCTGGAACAGAACAGGAGCAGAGTTTTTTAGGATGCTTCTAAATTACATTTAAGTGTGTTAAACTGTCAGTAATAAAAAGGTCATTTGGAGTTAAAGGAATTAATGAAACTTGTCTGTCTGAACTTTCCTTGAAACAATTTGAAAACTGCGTTTGTTATGAACTGTAATATAGAGTGATGAGTATTCTCACATCATGGTAGAAAATGTATTTGTAATTATGTAGTTTGAACCCTTTGAAATTTTTCACAAAACATGCCAAACACTGAAGAGGTTTTCACTATAGAAATATTGAGTATGTATGGTAATTTGTTTTTGAATCATGAAGGGCTTAAACCAGTGTGTCGTAACTAAACAGATTAGAAACAACATTTATTTTAATTAACTATAAGCATTCACATTCATTAAATATATGAAAACAGAATTTAAAAAAAAAAAATAATAATAAATTTACTAGATATGTAGGTACATTTCCAATTCTTCTTTTCTGTAATAGCAAACTAATAAAACAAATTAATTGACCACTAGTAATTACAATGTCTTTTAGTATTTGAACATAAATAGGAAATGGTAATTCTCAGTAAAACATAATTATCATATTTTAGTGCGATAATTTATCTAATGTAAAATGCAAGTTCCCTTCAGTCAGGTTTACCTTTTTGACTTCACTTTTTAAGACTTTTAGACCCAGTTGCATAATCGTTATTTATGCAACAAATGTATATACCAGGGCCAGATGCTCCCGTTTTTGTTTTTCGTCTGCCACTCTCATGACATTACTCATAGAGTGAATTTCATTTGCATGTCAAAATAAGGACCGCCCACGTTGCGCAACATTCTATGTATCGGATGCTATGACGTCACTCACAGAGTGATTTTAATTTTCACGTCAAAATAAGGACCGCCTACGATGGGCAACATCCTATCTTTAGGTGGAAAAATTTCAGGAATGTGTGACATCTGTCATCGCTCCAAAATTTGTAGATTTATTGGAGCTTATGGGGTCGGAGGAAATGTTTCCGTTGGGTGGCAATTTTAAAGTTTTACAGGTAAACCACAAAAAAATATGCATTTTATTTTAATAAAAATTTGTTTTTCGTTTTTTAATTGAAGTGAAGTCTGTTATTCTTGATACATTTCCACACCACCTCTGATGTATTACCGATGCTTGTTACCTTTTTTTATTTAAGAATTGGTTCGCTTGTAATCATATATGGTCCCATTATCAAATAAATACAGGGTGGTTCGTAAATAATGGCCCATAGCTTAATATTAAAATTTAAAATATCAAAATTAGTTATTAAAATTAATTGTTTGCTGTTATTCAGGGTTGGTGTAAAAGAAGTCATCTTCGGAAGTTATCTACAAATGTGACTTTTCAGAATCACTATTATCGTTACCAAGAATAATAATAGGTTCTATCAATATTTCTATTCTTGGATCTAAGTTTGTCTACTTCTTTTATCACATGGCCAATACATTTAGACCAATCAGCAGTTCTAACAGCACTTGCTGCGTTGTTTAAAAATTTGTTTACCTCTGCCAATTTGAATGTGATATTTCTATGCACGACATCACCTTTCACATTGACTAAATCGGATTTAATTCGCAGTGATAAGGCGGGGGGAGTCTTAATACGAGTAAACTGAAATCGTTTTCTTTGGCTATTTCATCTATGAATTTAATGAATTTTTCCTTGTAAAATCTGGCAATAATAAATAATACCGCTTTTAACATATTTTTGGTACAATATATATTTTCAGCTTAATTCCGATGCCGTCGTAAGAAATTTTTCTAAGCGACAAGTATGATATGAAGCGTTATCCAAAACAATGACTGAGCCCGGTTCTAAACGCGAAATAAATTAAAACCACATTTCAAATACATTTGAACTTATATCTTTGTGATAATCGCCCGGTCTTTCGTGATTCAAAAACATTAAGCACACCTTCAACAAACCCGGTATCATTGGCAATATGCGTAATTATTAAACGACGTCATTTTTTGCGTAGTTGATTACAATCCCGTAGAGAGCTCTTGTAAAAAAGCATCTCTGTGATTTTTTATTTCTAAACCCTGCCAAACTTTTGTAACTGTACCCTTGAGTACAAATAATAAATTTGTTTCCCTCATTGCGATATCTACGGATTTCCTTTAAATATTTTCTACGCCAAACAACTATTTCCTCTTTTTCCAATAGCGCACTATCACGTTGTCTCCTATAATAACGAACATTAATTTGCCGCAGTGTACGTCTTAAGACTAGAGGCGGTATTTTTGGCAAATCCATATCCCACTGTAACTCGGCAGTATTTTAATTCACAGTTGACATTTCATTATAAAAAAAGAATAATGTTATTTTTTTGACAAATGATGTGTTTAATATAATCATCTAAAATTATTTGTTTACGTCCCCGTTTTTCTTTGTTTATATTCGATCCTCCTTTTTAATTTTTAATGAAACTTTCGTTAATATCCTGCAAAATTTTACTGCTTCGTCTACTTTATAATCTGAAAAATTCTCGCGAATACAATCTTATACGTTTTTTAATAAGTTATATTCCGCTTCCGAAAAATGATGCAGTTTCGCAGAAGGGTTGCTACAGCTAGGTAATTCCGTATTAATTTAAAATGACCTTTAAACAAATAATTTACCGGGAATTACCAATTCCTCCGTCCCTCATAAACAGAAACCAACCATTTAACAAACTGAAAACCTGAACTCGCAAGTGATTTTTTATATATTGCCTCTGAAAAAGTCTCACGATTTCATAGTTTTGAAAAAGGCAGAACAAATTATAAATAATCGATTTATCATTCGAATGATATAAATCCGGAAAGGAGCTATGAAATTCCGCCTAAAATGTCCGTCATGTGTCACTACTGTCATGTGTCATGTCATATGTTATTTTCGTTGTGATGGTATTTTGAAAAAAGTGTGTTACTGCCCTTGCTACTTTTGCAAACACTGATATCATTTTCAACATAATTTTATCTAGAATTAGACTCGAAAAACAATGGCTTTAAATCCACAATACGATGCCATAGGAAAAAGTTTTGTACAACAATATTATATGCTATTTGATGATCCTATTCAAAGACCTAATTTGGCGAACATGTATAACGTGAGTAAATTTCTCAGTTTTATCGTTTCAGTTTTATTCTAGTATACCATTTCGTATTTTACTCTAAAAGATTGAATACATTAATTTTAAATTATAATTTTTATTATACCTAGACCGGCGTTTTAATAATAAAATTCTAGTTAAATGGTAGGTTAGGAAATTTTTCAAGTTGTTACATTATGCAAAACTTAACGTACAATTTTTGTATTGTATTAAATTGCTGCATTCTCACATATTTGAAAGATGTTTTTATTTAGAACGTGAAAATCGGAACTTTTTCCACAAAAAGTGAATGATTATAAAAACTTATCATATATGAAAGTGATTTATTTATTTTTTAGGTAGAACATTCATTTATGACTTTTGAAGGAAAACAATTACAAGGCTCTGCTAAAATAATGGAAAAATTTGAGGTATGTATTAAAATTATAGGTAAATATCTTGTCTGACCTTTTTTCAGTTATGAAGAAACTAATAGTGTTTTCGATTCCAGTGTTCGGCTTGCTCTGTCGATATATCGCTCATATTTTATGTGTATTCCCCACATGCAGGGCAGTGGAATCGAAAACGTTATAAGTATAGGTACTTGTAGATGACACTATTATTGTAAACAAAAAATCTAAGTTCTATGTCTTGTTCAAGTTTTTCAATTGTTATTAACTATATTATGGGAAATGAACTAAATAGGGGTGTCAGGTGGGTAAAAATTAAAATAATACCAATCCTATTAAATTGTTACTAGCAGAACCAGGAAATTGTATGTATTCATGGACTAGAAATAATTATTTAAGTATAATATTCTAAATCATAATTCTACAAAATTTCAACAACTATTCAAAATTTATTAAACTACATGAATACATGAAATTATTAGCATTTATAAAATAATTTTCTATACCAATGTAGTGCTTCACATTTGGTTAGGTCCATGGCAAAACTGTCAAATCATGTGTAAAAGGTGGGAGAACTGTAAAAGACCTGTTCAACTTCTGTTTGCCTTATAATATCTCCGAGATTTAATTTGAGACATTTTGTGAATTCTTTTTATGTTAAAAAAATGGATTGTTATTCATTTGCACAAGATATGAAATTTGAATTTTTTGTTCATATTTAATAGTTATGCTCAGTTTTCTCCTAATCGAAAAGATATCAAACTAAGTAATATAAGTGATAATTTGTTAATATTTTAGAAATTTACCATTTTTTAATGGTATTTTCACTGTGAGCTATATAGGTACTAGATTTAAAAGATTTTAAATATTATGAAACTTAGAAAAATTTGTAAACTATGTATTGATTGTTTGATATTTATCATTTTTTTTTTTTTTATTGAAATATCTATTTTTTTCAGTCTCTCAGATTTCAAAATATATCTAGACAAATTACTGTAGTAGATTCTCAACCTATGTTTGATGGTGGAGTTTTAATAAATGTTTTTGGAAGATTGCAAGTAAGTATAAGTCAGGATTATATTTTAATAGAGATTTATTAAAAATTTGATTTTATTAAATAATTCCATTAATTGAACTTTTTTAATGGTTTGTATTTACATTACTTTACTGATTTATAGGAGTGGCAATTTATAAACTTACAATGGCTATATCTCTTGAACTAAAGATGACACCAGAAAAGTAAAACCTAATAAAAGTTTATTTTCAACTCCTGGACTCGAAATTTTATTAAAATGTATAATAATTTCTTTTTAAATAAGTTAATTAAATAATTAGAAAATTCGGAAACATCCCAAAAAGCCCCCTACGAATTATTTAGACCATCTCCGAACCCTAAAGGTGAAAAGAAATACTTGAAATGCAAGTTCAGGGTTCACCCAATTTATTTAAATCAATGTTTAAAATAAAAAATCTGAAATGAGAACATTTATTTGTTTTACAGATTCAAAGAATACTGCTACAAAAACAAACTGCAAATAAAGCAAAATTCATAATATTAAAAAAAATAACACATATTAACCAATTTTCATTAGAGTTTGTACAGAAATACTAATATTTCTGCTTTCTCCACTCCTAATTTATTTTGTAAATTGGAGTGAATGATTTCTAATGTAGAAAATACTTACTCTACTGAAGCTGATGAGACAGCACATAAAACTTGTTTCAAAATAGGAAGAAGTTTTGCAACTTCAGGAATATTCTGTTGCGAAACCCACCACTTTAAGGCACTAACACTGGATACTACCTCTTCTGAAAACATAACTATTGAAAGTGGTTCAGTGTTGGCATCATGTCCCTGAGTGGTAGGCATCCACTATTTCTATAAATTTTTTGTATAATATTTAATGTTGAATCTTTTTCTGCACTAGTCAATTTAATTTTGGTTGTATCCAAAATATAGGGCATTAGTACCTCTGTTTATATCGGTTTTGAAATATTTGTATTTGAGCCAACAATTCTAATTCATCCTTGAATTTTCTTTCTAATTCCTTCCACACTTCTACTTAATAATTTTTGTAACATGTTCTTTGGCATTTCTTATTTCTAAATATTTGCATAATAAGTGTAAAAGTTATGATTTTAGAGTCCACTTTTAGTTTATCTAATATATTTCTTCTCATAAGTGCCATGTTTGCTGCATTATCTGTTACGAAAGATTTTATGTCTTAAGTTGTATTTAAATTTACAAGATAAAATTAAATTAAGAGCAATCCCAGTTAAATGATCGCCTGTGTAAATTGCCAGATGCATAAATTATTTCAAATAAAAATTATAGTCCATTTTAAGTGATTATTCTGGCACAAAGTATGGGCTTGTTGTGGAGATTAGAAAAACCATCAATATGTTTACACTCAGACCAGAAAGACTTCCAAAACATTTTATTTTTTCTTTCTCATGAATTTGTTCTAAAAGAGTCATCGAAATGGTTTTTCCTAATGGGGGCTTATCATCAGTTCTTAACATTTCGATCGCCTTTTTTTACGTACGATTTATCTAAACATCAGAAGCTAGTATTAGTTGCAAATACAGCTTTTGCAATTTGTCTATTTCTTCTTTTTTATTTGCAGATGAAAAAAGTTATATTTTTTCTGAGAGTGCCCATGCACATGTGCTCCTATGAACAAGCCTGATTAATAAAATACATGGAAAAAACTGAAAAAAGTAAGATTTTAGCGCTCCCTGTATTGTATCAAGTCATAATTTACACTAAAATCTACCACTTTTTCCTTCTGTAAAACATTGCAATTAATAATGAAATAATTATTAATATTTTTTAATAATATGTATTGAATACAGACCATTTGTTGTTGTCAAATTCACTTCTTCATTATGTGGCTCAGTGTTCTTACACTTTTTATGATGGTCTTTTAATCTTTGAACAAGTCTTTACATTTCCTTTTTGCAATTTTTACAAATCGCTCTACTACTAGTTTTTTTTTTCTTTTATAAAATAATTCCAAATTGTGTCTTTCCTCCTTTCACTCATTTTTATTTTACACTTTTCTCTTCACTTTAATTTTAATAGTTTTAATTAACTTAGGCACATGCTCAATAAAATTTGTCAAATGAATCAGCCTAAGAGTTCTCTTCTCTTATATTATTGTGATACTAGATAATGACATGTAACCATTCTTGAAATTTCAATTTTTTGGGATTTTTAAAGAAACTATTCGTTAATAGGAAAAAGTAGAAATTTAAAATTTCAGGAATGGTTACATAATGTCATATCTAATTTCTTTAGAATCCAGTTTTTAAAAAATTGTATAGTTAAACATATTTAAATCGATTGAGAAATATAAATCAAATATTAACGTGTATTACTTCCTTAAAATAGACTAAAACACATTATTTAATACTAAAAAAATCACAATTATTTGATTTTTATTGATTTTTTTTAATAAAAAAATCATGACTTGATTTTTTTGAACCCTAATAAAGTTAATAATTATTAAGTAATACTACTGAACCACCCTGTATAGAATATATCTTATATTGTTGAAAAGCATTTTTACTAGCTTTTCAATTATGTATGACAAGTGGGGGTTGCTATTTTTGCTTACGTAGGGGGTTAATAAGGATGAGTTCTGTATTTTGTCATCCTAATAAGAAAAGTGTCTAATTCCACCTTTTTGCAAAAATGGGATTTTGCTACCATCTATTAGAATAATGTCTAAGCTACCTTCTGCCAAAACTTCAGTGTCAACTTAACCATTTAATATTAAATTGAAATAATAGAAATTTGCCTATCTCTGACTTGACAATTGCCAAAAAGAAATTTGTCTAGCTCCACACTTCTGTTTAAAAGAGTATCGCGTGGGAATGATTTTTTTGTGTTACATTCAAAGTTATATGTGTTAGATGTGAAGAAGAACAAGTAATACTGTAATAATATATTTGTTAAAGATGACGGTTTTTCTGCTCTCCTGAAAAGTTTTGCAAAACGGAGATAGGCATTTTTCTTATCAGGGTGACGCATTCAAGTTCTCCCTTTGTATCCTAGAAACAGTTTTAATCATTTTCTATTCTTCTTTAGTTCATGAGATATAGCCATTGTAAGTTTTTTAATTGTCACCCTTTATATACTCTTATATTATTTTGTGAGAATTAATTAAGAAATAAATAAAATCATACCATTTTAATTATTTCTTTTAAACGAATTTGTTTGTTGTCTATACTTTTCTGTTTTAACTAAATATCTTTTTTCATTTTAGGTTGATACTGACCCACCCCATGATTATAATCAAGTATTTGTTCTAAAACCATTAAATGGCTCCTTTTTTGTCCAACACGATATTTTTAGGCTGAATATTCACAATACTGCTTGATTGCATTTGAAACATATTTTTATTTTACAATATCTATTCAAGTTAAACATGCAGTTTCAAAAAGAGATCAATTTGTTTTGCTTGTAAACTTCATTACTATAATTATATAAATATTTTCAAAAAAAAAAACATTGTTTTATTTTATTATATCTAGTATTTTTATAAATTAGAAATATCATAAATAAATACAGCGCCAAATAATAAATTAAATTGATTTTTTTTTTAAATATAGAAACCAAATTCTGTTGTATGTTACATAACAATATTATTGAAATAAAAAGTTTTAGTACACAACAATGTAATGAATAATAAATACATTTAAAAATAAATTCTTGTAAATTGCAAGCTTTTCATCTTTCAACATGTTAGTCTACAATTCTTGCCAAATGTTGTTAGGCATCCATATCTTTTCTCTCGAAAATATTCTGCTCTATCACACAAAATTTGAGGATCCTGAAGCAAGAGTAGTCCTAGACTTTTACTCAATATAAAACAAACCTAAAATGTCCCATATCTCAAAAGTAAGTTTATTTTATGTTACATATACCACTCTTGTTCCTGGCACCTTATTTGTTTTCTATAGACAAAAAAATGTATTCTTTAATGAATAATATCAAAAAATTATATTTCAAAAACTGGAGATGACGTCATAAAGAACGTGTACCAAAATATTGGCCTACCCTAGCATTAATTTTTTACTTGACCAATAAACATTTTATCATTTTTTCCAACCTCTATCGAAATGCACCATGGACAGAAGGGTTAAAAACTTTGACCAAACCCATCTAGATATTTAGTATGTGCGGCGCATCTGCTGCCAATTCCATGATTGTCAAGAGCAACACAAAACATCTAGAACATGATTTCTACACAAGAAACTGCTTCACTAGTGCTGCTACAGATGGTTATACAGTACCAAATTCAGATTATGTATGTTATCACTATCGACTAGGTAGTGCAGTACATTAGAGCAGGTCCATTTACAGGCTTTTCAGTGGCTTAGCAAACACTGCTTTGAATCCTACAGCAGACCATGTAAATTTTTAAAATGCATGGTTCATCATAGGATTTAATGGTTGCCATACTGGTAGTAATTTAATTTGTTTATGACATCTAAATTACAAATCTGTAGGTAAATTGAATGGCACCAGCAATCATCTTTAAATCACGCCACAGCAAATAATAGCTGTACATCCTCTAGACAAGTTCCCTTTTTTTTTATTAAAATTCACTCATGGGGCTGTATTATTATTACTATCGGTGAATGACATTTAATACCTGTGTTCATTTAAATTTTATTAAACTGATCAAAAGTTATTAACTATTATTTAAAAGATCCTGAAGTTTATATTTAGAAAACCAGCAGATCAAAGTAAAAAAAAATATAACAAAAAAATGTTTATTGAATAATTCTACTATTTACAAAATCAGCAATACACATTTTAAATTATAATTTCCATGTCCCCAATTTCTGAAAATTTAGAAAACCAGCAGATCAAAGTAAAAAAAAATATAACAAAAAAATGTTTATTGAATAATTCTACTATTTACAAAATCAGCAATACAAATTTTAAACTATAATTTCCATGTCCCCAATTTCTGAATCTGATGGGAGATGCATTTGAGATGGGTTAATGAAATTTGGGTCAATTAGAGGCAAACCCTTTTGTTCTCTTCTTCGAAGTTCCAAGAAAGCCTCTCTCTGAGCCCAATCTCGTAGTGAATAGTCTGGCATGTAAGCAAAGAAAAATCCTCCAACAACCAAACACAAAGTAACAGAAGCAAACATTATTGAATGCATGGCCGTTCTGTCTGCCTCCTTTGAGTTATATTCGTAACCATAACTCACCCAATTTTTATCTACTTTAGTTTTTGCACATACATTCGCTGAAACGGTGTCATTGTTTCTGCTTGACGTAGAAACTAATCTTCTTGTTAAAACCGAAATAATTCTATTTGAATTTTTAAAAGAAAGTCTGAATAACATTCTAGTAGCCAATTCTTATTAGTATAAATTTGGTAATAAGGTAATGTTTCGCGATAAATATGTTTTTAGTTAGTTTTTTTTGGCTTACCTAGCAATGTGAAGTTAGATATGGTTTGGAAATTATAAGCACAGAACACTTACTCTTAGAACGGTAACTCCCATGTTAAAAAAGGATGATAGAGTTTTTAGCGGCACCTGGTGGACGTGGTTGATTTTTTTTCAATTAAGTCCTTGTCTGGTAAGAGGCCATATGAAAGAAGAGAAAATAATAAAAAGAAGAAGAGAAGAAAAGCGCGGGGCTATTCAAATTTGACAGTAAAAATTATCCGCATTAAAAACTGTTAGCCAAATTAAGATTTGTTCACACAAATTGCATTTTTGCTTTATTATAGCGAATATCGCTATAATAAAGCAAAAATGCAGTTTGTGTGAACAAATCTTAATTTGGCTAACAGTTTTTAGATAAAAAAAACAAGAATATTCAAAAAATAAATTTATTAAAGAATATATATAATACAAATCCAATATTTAAAAAATGTAATGTATATGAAAATTGTATTATGTATGAAGTAGCTGGATGGCTGCTACATATTCCAGGATACAACACTGTCCATCATTTTGTGAAGAACTTTAGCTGTGAAAAAAGAAAGACAGTATAAGTACAATCTCATTAAAATAAATGTATTAATAAAAAATTATAAGTCCGAGGAATACTTTATTTTTTAATAAGTCCAACATCTACGATACAGCTTTGCAACCCCAAACGTCATGAAACACAAATTTCACAGTATATGCAGCATTTAAGAATCCACATCGGATGCAACTGAGATGTAGTAAATCTTTGATCACGTGATTCAATTTACGTAAATGTAATGGGACAGATGTGTCCGATTTAAAATAAACTATTTGAGGCGCTGTTCTCCACATCTCGGCAAATGGACTAAAATAATAATTTATAATACTCTTAATATTACCTTATTTTAATTATTGTGCCACTATACTGTATTTGCTCAACCAGAATGAGTTGCAATGATTGCAAAAGTTGCAGAATAGAGGTCTGAGGATAATACTGAGCTGTTCGAGATTGGAACCAATCAATTCCATGTTGAATGTGCTTCAGTGGTTGACTGTTAAAAAATATTTGCTATTCTATTCCCTGCTTTTTATATTTAAAATTAAATCAGGAATCTCCAGAGTATATTTACAAAATATTTTAAGTTATAATCAGGATGTTCATGAACCTAAACAGGTAACAAGAAAAATGTACACAAAATTCAGTGTTTTTTAAAGGTGTACAGGCTTTTAATAATTTGCCTGAGGATATTAAATGTTCTTCAAATGTGGCAATATTTAAAATAAAACTGCATGAATACCTGTTCACCTATTGACGTTTTTTTTCTCTTTCTTGTTCTTTTATTGTTTTGTATAGTTGACATGTAAGTGTACTGTATCTTATGTATTTTTTATTGCATTTTAAATGTATGTTGATTCTATATTTAGGTATTTTTTATATTTTAAACGTGAAGATGTATTGACATGTAAAAAATAGTTTTTTTGACTAAATAAACGTTTTATATATAGGTATGTGGATAAAAAAACGCTCGAGATGTAAAAAATGCATCTGATGTGGATTCTCAAACACAGCAATAAGTATAAAATAAATAAGTACTAACTTTCCTTCTCGAAAAGAAGTCCAACATATATTATTAGTCTGCTTCTTCTTCTAGGATACAGCTTTGCAACCCCAAATGTCATGAAACAGAAAATACACAGTATAAGTATAAAATAAATGAGTAGATTACTAACTTTCCTTCTCGAAAAGAAGTCCAACATATATTATTAGTCTGCTTCTGCTTCTTCTTCGAACCTTTACTTGAAGTAGAAGGTGTTTGATCAACATATTCAATTTCTACGTTATTTGAGGAAAGTCCATCCGCTACTCTTCCAGGAACTGCTGGTAGGAATAGCGTTGGAAATGCTTCAGGTGTTAGACCTCGACGAGAGCCAACTACTTTATACTTCTCTTCAAAATGTTTATGACATACTACAAAGGTGGAATAAATTTGTAGTTTTGTTTTATTATTAAATCTTGGACAACGAACAGCAAGTGCCCAAATTTCAAATAAATCGGGTTCATTCCTAGGGTGGGGCAGGCGATGCATCTTGTTGTTCACATCAAGGCAATTCGGTACACAACATTTTCTATAATTACGCATCTTTATGGAAAAGCACGAAATAACAGCGGAAAAAGCACAAGATAACAGTTCAAAACGCACAAATTTATAATGGAAAAACAAGCTCACAGTGGTCAACTAAATCAATTAAGCAAATTGGAAATGAAAACACAACTGAACACAACCAAGTCACCAATATAAATAAACACGTTTGGTTTAAGCCAAGACGCCATGACACCCCCCCAAAATCAATATTCACCTGTCATTTACACTCCCACCACCTACCCCACCACCCGACTGCAGCGCCACGCGGACGTGGTTGATTGATCCTTGACCTGCGCATACCAGTTTCCCACCCCTGATTATAAGTCAGGTGTCAGTGATGAAATTTGACAAGAGTTACATAATTCTTCTTTTTTTAATTACCGCTTTGGCCGAAAATGTACGAACAGAAGGTCTATATTTTTATTGTATTAATCCGTAAGGGCCGGGGCCGATTATTACGTTGTGCTAAACGAAGTTTAATTTAAATTTCTAAGGGCCGATTCCACCGTTGTATTAGACGGAGATTAAAATGACGTTGTTAATGTAAAAATGTCATTTTAAACTTCGTTTAACACAACGGTGGAATCGGTCCTAAGCGAAGTTTAAAATGACATGTTTACATTAACAATGTAATTTTAATCTTCCAGTAATTTAAACATCGTTTAACCCAACGGTGGATTCGGCTCTTAAGGAATTTTGTCGATCTCTAATGCCGCATTTGTGAATCCACATCGGATGCATCTGAGATGTAGTAAATCTTTGATCACGTGATTCACTATACGTAAATGTAATGGGACAGATGTGTCCGGTGTGGATCAAAAACGCTCGAGATGTAAAAAATGCATCCGATGTGGTTCTCAAACGCGTCATACATCTGCGTTTGTTTGGAACATTTCTTTCAGCTGCGTATTAATCAAAAATCATTTTTAAGTGATTTTCTTAAATTAAAAGGTGTCGTAGAACAGAAGTAAAAGTTGTAAAGGCTTTTGCCAGTTCTCCCACTTTATACACATAAATTGACAGGTTTGCAGCGGATCTCACCGAAGTGGACGCAATACATTGACGTACAAAATTATTTTATAGATGTTAATAACAATTTCGAGTAAGTAGTTTAAAAATTTTAAAAATATCCAGATGGCGCGGCGACTGGGCGCTGTGCGAACTTTATCCGCTCGTCGAAATTCTCGAAGCCGTCCGACATGGTTTGACGTTTACCCCCTCTCTACCTACCAAAAGCCTTTCCAACTTTTCCTTTCCCTACAGCATAGAAAAATAAAAAGCCCTACAGTTAAATGTAATAAGTGTTAAATTTAATTTTGATGATCCTTTTTAGTGCATTTCGATACGCACATGTGGGCGCCAAAGTGTCAAATATCACCTCATGTTGCTTGATTTTCTTGATCGGCTTTATCTTTATTCTTCCAGTTTCGTGGTTCATTGCGGATTTCCGATGTTGAAATCGTACAATACAAATAATCGATACCGATACTGCTTAAAATGAATCGATACCTACTCAAAATCGAAGAAAAAGTATGGTTTGCTTTTCTAGCATCCTTACAAGTGTTCTGTGATCCTTATTCCTTACCTCCCACTAACTAATCTGATAGATTAAAATTATGTATGCATATGCATTTAAAAATAAATAATTGATTTGTTTTTTAAACACTTGTACCAGAGTCAACTTGAACGGATTGTGGAAATTTGTGAATGGTCAGACAAACTTAAATATTAAAAATCATAGCTTAGGCTCAAAGGTCGCAACTTGCAACATCATTAGTTTTCTAGTGATTTCCTAGAAGTTAAATATATTCTTCCTACATGATACTTGCATGGTACATGGTTATGATATTACATTTTTAACATGGTAAGAATTATATAAATTATTAGGTATATTTTGTTTATTAATATATAGTGAGTGTTCTATGGTTAAATCGGAAGTCTCTGGTTAAATATTACTATCGCCCTGTACTTCTGCACCTTACCTTTAAGTTGTCAAACCAATGTTATTTTTGTCATTTGTATGCTCAGTTTTTGGTTTAGCAGGATATATTTTTGATAATAATAATATTAATACAATGGAGAGCATGGGAACTATAGGAAAGTATCTCACTCTGCCCCTGACTTATAGATTTATTGGAGGAGAAGCACATTAAAGTTTTTCTCTGATGAATCATGGACAAGTTGTAGAGTAGCAGATGTGAAATAAAAACCATATGAGTATGAAGGCATATGTGAATTAAATAATTAAATTATAAAATCTTTAGTCAAAAAATTAGGTAATTTTGTAAGTGTATGACCCCAGTGTAGATATTATACTGGATATAACTGCCTATTCCTAAAACTACTGCTGTAGTAGATACTCTAATAGTGTTTTCGATTCCATTGCTTGGCTTGGTCTGAAAGTATACAAAAGGTGGGAGATATGTCGATACCAGTTACTTTTCACTCTAAAAAGTAACCGGTATCGATATATCGCTCATCTTTTATCACTCTCCACAGGCAGGTCAGTGGAATCGAAAATGCTATAAATGACAGCTTAGAGAAAGCAATAACATGTTGATTATTACAGCATAAAATATATACATTTCCTATTAGTTATATTACTGTTACCTGTGCCCAATAACCATTTTCAATAATTATTTTAGTCTAATTAGTAGCAGTATTATTTATAGTATTAGCTCTTCTAAATTTAGGTAATTGATTTTAGGAAACTCGATCAGCTACTCTTAGAAGCAGAAAACCAATTCATTCAGAAGAATCTGAAAAAAAATCAGAAGATATTATTCTCTCTAATGATTCAAAATCATATGATGAATTGACTGAAGAAGAGGAAGACAATGAAGAAGATGAAACAGAGAACAAGTTGTCAAAAAACAGTGATGAACAATATAAAATTATTATTTATTTTTTGATTTTAATAATAATTTTTGGACCATTTTCAGTAATAATACCATTTTTTTGTAAGGGTACTGAAGAAATAAATGAAAGCTACTCAGATATTGATATTGAAAGATTAAAATATCAATTTCCATCACAGGAAGAAGATTTTTGGCTCAACATCAAAGTAGCTGTTGAAGAAGTAATTAATTTAAATCAACCAAAATCAATAATTTTTTTATACAAACATGAAAAACCTATTCAGCACATTCTTCTAAACATATCTGAATATGCTTCTTTAAAAATTTTATCCAATTCGAACAAACCCATTGTTGTAAATAGTGAAGATTTAAACAGAAGAGATATTTTAGAAGATTATGGAGTATTTATTACAGATATTAAAGAAAAGTTACAAAATAGTGCAGTTGTTATTGTCAACAATTTAGATAAAATTCCTGGCAAAACAGCACAAGCATTTCACAGTTTATGTGATGAATATAATCCAATACATGAAAAAGTTTTATACTTATTTACCATTAAAGACGATACTTTTCCAGATCAATTATTAAATTTTGTTGAGAACAAACTTAAGAAAAATTGGAGTGATATGCATAGTGACAAATTTTATCCTTTAATTACAAGAATGTCCTCATTTATATTACAAGTACAATAAAATCAAATACATTATTTTTATATAAGTAGGTACATGTTTTTGATTTAAAATAGTTCTGAAAATCAAGTAAATAGACTAGAATTGAGAAACACTAAAAGCTCAAAAATTGGTATTAATTGAGAGTGAATAGTAATTAATTTTGTTTTAGTTGTAGTTTTCTCCACCCTCTTCCTACAGAGCATTAACAATTAGAAGTAGCCTTAAAAAAAGTAGTTTGTCTCATTCTGTCACTTTTAATTATTCAACACTTAGGCCAAAGAGTATAGTTAACACCTTAGGCATTCCAAACCAATGAAATGTGGTGATAAGGTTTGGTATTTTTAAAGGGTTGTGACATTCAATGTAGTCTACAATATGTGAAATGATAACGGATTAAATTTTTATTTTATAATGAACACAATGAAAATATTTTAAAAAACGTCTAGACATTTTCTAGAAATTGGCAGGCTTTGCGACTACTATTTCAAATAAAAATAGCGTTAAAGATGGAAGGCTATGTAGCAAACACCTTAGATTTACCAGCCAGGTCATTGAAATGCCTAGTTGTGGCCTAGAGTTAGATCTGGTTAAATTTTCAGTGGAAAAATAGAAATTTAATCAAAGAAATAAAGGTAACTTTAATTACAGTAAAAATGTAAAAGTAATTACAAACCTTCATTTTTGTAACGAGAGTACCTATTTAATACCTGTTGAAAATAGTAGACAACTGAAAAGTCTATTTCACGATATTCTTTAAAATTCCTTAAGGTCCCATTCCACCGTTGTATTAAACGAAGTTTAAAATTACATTTTTACATTAACAATGTCATTTTAATCTCCATTTAACACAACGGTGGAATCGGCGCTAAGTAACGGTTCAGAAAGGAAATATTTCTGCCTTTGATTATTGTCTGTATCTGGAATGCAATTTTGTGACTGACTGATTGGAAAACAGTTATTTAATAATTAATTTTCCTTCAAACTAAAAAGAAAACCAGTATAAATTACATTCGAAAATTTTTTTTGGGAATAAATTTTAAATCTACGTTTGACATTAACCTTTAACTTCATTAGGCAACTTTTTATACACTTTCTTGTAAATACTGTTGCCTACTGATTTATTCTGTGCACGTTTTAATATTTTTAACAGACTTTTTTTTATGTATGTTCAGCGATAATTCTTTAAAACGGTGTCCGATTTCAATGATTCTTTTTTGTTAGAAAGGGGGCACTTCAGGGGTGGTCCCATATAAATTTTGTCAAAATCTTATAATTGCATGGGTCCATGAGAAAATCCTCAAACTCTTAATTTTTTATGTATGTTTAGCGATAATGCTTTACCACCTTGTCCGATTTATATGATTCTTTTTTTCTTAGAAAGGGGGTAGCTCAGGGGTGGTCCCATTGTTTTAGTTGGCGCTGCCGTAACTTTTTATTTTTCTATGCGCACTGAGCGAAACGTGGCGTCCCTCTGGTACAGAAGCGCCTTAATTTTATACATTTTGAGGGACACTTTTTGTATACAAAGATATTTCACCTTACCTCTACACACTCTATACACGAAACGTAGAAAAATAAATTGGAATTAAAAACTGCTGCAAGAAGGTACAAATTCAGAGGTAAATTCCACTGAACTGTAACCAACAGTATAGAGTTCAGTGGTAAATTCTCAGTCCCAGGGATTCTTATGTGCGTACTCAACACGTAACGAATTGAATAGAGAGAGAGATACATTACATACGAATCGCATTCTGTGGAACGAAGATAGTCGTCTCAACACATGCCGAATTGAAAGATGAGAATCCCAATGCTGGCAGGGATTCTTATGTGCGTACCCAACACGTAACGAATCAGATAGAGACAATGGGTCCTATGATTGAACGTTTACGTTATCCATAACATACATGTTAGGCCGAATTTTAACAGTAACGAGGCAAATTTGCATGATGGAAAACTGTTAAATTAGAACATTACAGACGGAAAATAACAGTAATGTATTTGAAAAAGTTTTCTATCTTACGAACTTGTCTCATTACTGTTAAAACTCAGCCTAACATGTACGTTACGGATAACGTAAACGTTCAATCATAGGACCCATTACATACAAATCGCATTATGTGGAACGTGCCGTATTGAACTATGATAATCGCAATGCTGTTGTAAGATCGTTTTTCTAAACTGTCAAATTCATTCGTCTAATTTCCAGTTCTGTGCAATATTCTGTCAATTGTCACGTGTCACGTCATCGTTTAGTTTTGAGTTTTGACGTTTGATCCGGCTGGCGAAACTCAAATAGATAAATATTTACATCATGCATTTTATCAGAGACAAATTTTAAAATTTTAACAATTGAATTATTGGAATTGTCTAGGTTTGTTTTCCAAATTTTTAATCTCCAATTCTATAGTGTGGCTGATAGTAAACTGTTTCAAACTACTATGCAATAAGATCTGCCCATTGATATTCCTGCACTATTTCAATTCCACTTACCCATTAGAAAATTGGAAACTAGTTGCTATCCTGCGACCTGTTAAAAACCAAAGAGAGCAGAACTTAAAGTATGGAACGTGACGTGAACAAATATAATTGAAGTTATTTAACCTAATTTCAAATAAACACCAAGTTCCTTGTTCCTTTATGCCAAAGCCCATAGAGTTGTTGACATCAGAATAAAAAAACATTGGAATTATGGCCAATAGAAAAAAGGTATTCATATGTTTAGTAAGCTATTTATAGTATAATATTAACTTCTTTTAGAGTGCTACTTCATCGGAAAGCAGTTCAGGTTCAACATCAGATTCATCAAGTTCTAGTTCTTCATCTAGCGGATCTGATTCATCCTCTTCAAGTGATTCGGATTCATCTAGTTCTCAAGAATCTAATAAGCCTCAGTCTGATTCTGAAGCTAACAAAAAATCTCAGCTTCAGAAACAAGTGAGAAAAAGTACTGAGACTAAAGTGTTGCTTAATAAGTCATCAGATTCAAAAACCTCTAAAAATAAACCAAATCAAAAATCTAATAAACCAGCACCTAAAGTTTATTCTACAGATGATGAAGATGATATTAAAAAATCTTTAAAAAAAAAGAGTAATGTTAAACCAAAAAGTAGTGCCACTATTACACCAAAAACAACTTCACATCCACAGAAAGCTACTTCAAGAGCAGTTGCTAAAGTAACAACAGCAAAAGTAAAAAAAGAGACAAAACCAACTCCCCCTGTTAGGGGTAAAGAACCCCCTAAGATACATGCTCAAAAAGTTAATGCTAGAAGTGCTGATGCTAATAAAAAGAAGAGTATATTTTCACCAGAAAATAGTTCAGAGTCTGACTCTATAAAAGAGAAAATTCATAAGGAGGTCTATTGTAAAGTTAAACCTGAACCTAGAGCTAAGGCTAGGATTATCGAAAAAGTTAAAGTGGAAAAAAAGGAGGAGAAAATTTCACCAAAAAAAGAAATTGGTAAGTATTCCTCTCCATTTTACCTAGAGTTGACAGGTGTAATATTTCAAATTACAGGGTTTAGTAAGTCTAGAATAGAATTTTATTTGACTATGTTATATTTAAAATATTTGTAGTGAGTCCTCACAAATACAATTTATGTACAATATACTAAAAATATTTAAATAAAATATCAGAAAAATTCTAAATTATAATAAACAGTATGCATTTTAGTTTGATTATCTATATGATTCTTGTTAAACATGTTTTCTTCCAAATTTACTCCTGTTCTCGAATTAGGTGTAACCTGTTGAACAATGTATAAATAAATAAAAGGGTGAGTATATTCTTATTACTTAACTTGAAAGTATTCCAAGTATTCACTGACTGAGTAGAAGCAATACACCAAGAGAAATGTTTTTTAAATGCTTTTGAAAATATTTACATCTAAACATTTAAAACGAAGGTAGAGCATTGTAGATATTATAGTCAATTCAGTTTTCTTGTGATTTAGTTAAATGATAATGATTAGTTGTAATGTTTGTCTCTTTATAATATCAGATTGATTTATTGGTTTTTTATGAATTTCAATAAGCACATTATATTATCCATACAGTTGATAAGGGTATAATTTTAAATTTAATAAACAGTTGACAAGGAAATTTATAATCTATATTAGCAATAATTCTTACTATTCTTAGCTAGATGAATTTCCCCAGATAATAACACTAATTTAAAAAATGAAAAAAAAAAAAAAAAATGGTGTCAGTAGAGTACTGGAACTAGATATATTTTTTAATTGTCCAAGCAAAAATATAGTACTAGATATCATGTTTTGTTCCAATTTAATTTACTGTCAGTGGTTAAACCAAGCAACTTTGTTGTTGATTCTGTACAATGTACAAGAAGTGAGATGTAGAGGAAAAACATAAATTTTGAGTTGTGTCTGTATTTCATGAGCAAAAACCATTTATTTGCACGTTTTTCTAAATCTTTAGCTGTACTTTGTAGAGTTTTAGAATAAATAAAAGTGGTATCATCAGCAAATAATACAGACCTAGTTGGTAACATATAATTGAGTATGTCATTTATGTATAATATTGCTGTGTTAATTCAAATGGGCATAACTACAATTTTCCTTGAAATAAAGATATGACCACTATGCATGACAACAATTAATTTTTTGTCCATCTCTATAACTTTCATGAATGTATCTTCTATAAAACCCCAGATTTAACTCTTAAAAATTTGGATGTAAGTGATTTTTCTTGAAAAATCGTTTTTTCTCACGTTCAAGAATTAAACAGATACGGCAATTTGAATTAATACGACAGAATAGTGGTCCCATGACCGAACCTTGTGGAACACTGTGTTTAATTTTTTTAAAACTAGATATAATTATTATTAACTAACTACCTGGTATCGATTGGTTAGATATGATTTAATAAGTGTCTAAAAGTGTTCCCCTCTCATGGTACAAATATAATTTTTCTAGCAGTCTTTTACAGAGGGTGTAGTCTGTAACTGCTTAAAGCTTGCTACAGTTTTTTATTTATTTATTTATTTATTACAATGCTCTACATGCAATCCCAATTACAGAGCAGGAATAAAAGAACACATACATTATATAGACTAAGTGGTACAAAAATTTGTAAACAGCTAGTAGGTAAAATACAATACAATACAATTTTTTTTTTAAGTTAGGAAATTACATTTTATTTCCCTCAGTTTGCATGAGAAGATGTCAATGTCACTACTCACATTATTCACAACGCGGCTAATAGTATGAAATGGAGAATTTTTCAGAACATTTGTGCGAGGTACAGATATGTGAAATATATCAGAATTTCTAGAGGATACTCTCGGAATGTAGATATCAATTTTTCTCAACAGTTCAGGAGAATCAATTAAACCGTTAACAATTTTGAAACCTAACACATAATAATGGTATTCACGTCTTTTTATGAGGCTTAAAAAGTGATATCTTCAAAGAAGATTTTGGTGTGGTATTCCGATTGGCGGATAAACACCGTCCTCCTTTAAACACAGTAATTTTAGAAACCGCCTTTGAACTGCTTCAATTCGATCCGTGTGAAGTTGGTAAAATGGACTCCAGACGACAGATGCATACTCAAGCTTTGATCTTATAAGAGAGTAATATAGCGTTTTTTAATGTGGCTACATCTTTGAAATCCCTGGTACAGTGAGTTATAAAACCATACATACGATACGATGTTTCAATAATTTTATCTATGTGACATATAAAGGTCAATCCGGGATCAAAAATTACCCCAAGATCTGTAAAAGTATCTGGTCGCTAAAGTGAGACATTGGAGTCTATTCTGTAACAATTCCTTTATATTTAACGGCCTTTAAAAATGTTTTCTTCTTTACTTCTGTCATTATTTAAACGGATCTTTAAAATACATTAGAGGACTATCTTAAAGAAATCTGTTTAAATAATGACAGAAGTAAATTAACGAATACGAACATATTTTTAAAGACCGCCAATATTTTTAAAGGCCGTTAAATATAAAGGAATTGTTACAGAATAGACCCCATTATCTATTAAATAATTATATTTTATTTGATTGGATTTTAAAGTAAAAGACATAACTTTACATTTAATTGGATTAAGTTCAAGTTTATTATTATTACACCATTCAACCACTAGATTTAAGTTCATGTGAAGTTGTTCACAGTCGCCAATACTTGTCACACGCTTGTATAATTTTAAATCATCTGCATACAGTAAAAACTGCTCTTTAATTATACTCGAAATATCATTGATGAAAATATTAAATAGTAACGGGCCCAGAATGGAACCCTGAGGAACTCCAGATGTTGTTGCAAATTTGACAGACTTAAACCCATTAAGCTGTACAAACTGAGTACGATTTACTAGATAGCTCTGAAAGAGATTTATCAAAGGGGGGGACAACCCAAACCCTGTAAGTTTTCCAAGAAGAATACCGTGGTCAAGTCTGTCAAATGCCTTTGAGAAATCTGTGTAGATGACATCAGTCTGGGCGCGCTTATCAATAGATTCAGCAATGTATTGTGTGACAGTAACCAGGTTGGTGGCTGTTGAGAGACCTTTCATAAACCCATGTTGATTGACTGATAGCATTTTACTAACATACTGATATAAGGTTTTCTCCAATAAAATTTCAAATATTTTGGAGAAATTGCATATTATGGATATTGGTCTGTAATTGGTTATATCTCTTTTATTCCCCTCTTTGAAAACTGAACATACTTTTGAGGTCTTCCAAATATCTGGAACTGTTGAAGTCCTGAGGCATATATTTATGAGGGTGGCTAACAAAGGAGCAAGTTGAAAGGCACAATCCTTTAAAATAAAAGCTTGAATATGATCTGGACCAGTTGTCTTTTTAGGTTTAATAAACTTTAGAGCTTCATATACCTCTTTTTCGGTAAAACAATTGACATTAAGGAACGAAACATTGAGTCGTGAATTTGAATTAGCAATAAACAGGATAGAGGTAATATATGACTCATTGAAGAAGTTAGCAAATCCATTGAGAATATCTAATGGAGTTTTTAGTGATTTGTTGTCATAAGACATTATTTGAGGGGATTTGGATTGTGATTTCTTACTATTTATAAATGCCCAAAATTTACTTGGATTACTAGATATCTCTTGTTCAGTCTTTTTAATATATGCTCTGTAAGAAATGTCTATTTCTAATTTTAAAGCAGCTTTTATGCGTTTTACCCCTTTATAAGGGAAGTGATATTACAAACCCAGACAATTTTCGCCCAATTTATCTTTTACCAATACTTTCAAAAATCGTTAAAGTTTGTATGATGAATTTTCTAAGTAAACACAACCTTCTTTCTCGTTTCTAGTTTGGTTTAAATAATAAGATAAAGCAATAGAAATAACCCAAGTCCTCTGACAAAATCTAGTAACTTTTTTTTTGTCCATTTTACTTTCAAACAATAAAGAAAGCAAATGGACTTGGGGTATTTCCGAGACATTATCAGATCTTGCAATAATGAAGCAGATAAAATCTAGATCCTTATCTGTCGCTATAAAGTAGTTTTTGAATAGGTTGAGAATTAGTTTAGCACCTCAGAAAGATATTTGTTCACAACAAAAATCAGAATTATTGTTTGAAAATTCTACTCCACTAAGAAATTATAAATAAAGGGTGTCCCGAAATTAGACGTTCATATTTTAACAGCGTAATCTACATTCTAAAATAGGAGCAAAAGTTCATACATAGGTCCGAAAACGTTTCGTTTTCGAGATACATGGTGTTACAAGTGAAGTCCTGATGGCACATTTTTTGTAAATATTTTCTAAAATTTCTTTAGTCACCGTTTTTCCAAAGTAAAAAAATAAAATTTCTGATTCCATGGGCCTACTAATTATTGTTTACACTTTCGAATAAGATAACATCAATTTATCATGAAATTTTCAAATGATTTTCTCTTGAAAATGGTGCGTCCTAGCGAGATGCAACAAAAGTAGCTTTATTATAAAGGAAACATTGGTTTTACAAATTTTATTATCAAAAATATTAAAAACTGTCAACAAAAAACTGAGGGCAATTTTACCCTTAGCCCCCCCTAATTTACCCACCTATGGAGATGATCAAAAATCGCGGTTTAGTTCATTAAATAGAGCGTAAAAAGATAAGCATTTGTACTAAATTTCACTTAGTTATCTTTAAACGTTTAGAAACTATTTCCAAAAGTGTGTCATCAGGACTTCAATTTTAACACCCTGTATCTAGGAAAAGTAACGTTTTCGGACCTATGTTTATATGAACTTTTACTCGTATTTTAGGATGTAGATTACGCTGTTAAAATATGACCGTCTAATTTCGGGACACCCTGTATATGTCAACAATATATTCGAAATTACTATAAGAAAATTATAAAATTTAGTCTTTAATGTATAATTTATAATTGCTCGAATTTTTTTAGCATTTAGTAATAACATATGCCAGCTAACTCTTAGTGTTTACCTAACTCTAAAGATATAATAATGTAATGAATACTTTTATTTTTGTATATAAATACAATATGTAATAATATGTGTTAATTTTAAATTATAATATTTTAATTACAGAATCCTCGGCAAGTTCCGCTTCTACTGCATCGGGTTCAAGCAGCAGTTCAGATAGTGAGAGCAGTGCTGAATCTTCTGAACACAATCGTAAGAGTGCCAAAAAGCCTGTTAAAAAACCTTCAGTGGTACATAAAGACACAGCTAATACTGATTCAGAGAATGATTCTCCAGAAAAGGACCAAGTAACAACCAGAAAGTTAACTAGATCTGCAAGTACCAGAAAATCCAAACATGTTTTGGGTAAAAGTGTTTATTCAGACACAGATTCAGATACAGAAAGCACAAAAAGATCTTTATCAAGATCACCAGTCAAGAAAGGGCACATAGTTACTAAAGGAAAAACTAAAAAAAGAGGTGAAAGTAAAAAGAAAAACAATGAGTCTCAATTAGAAGAAGACCGAACATGTCCCTTAGAGAATTGTGATAGCAATGGCCATTTAAGTGGAAAATATGACAAACATTTTACCCTTGAAGGTTGTCCTAAATATCACAACCTAACACCAGAAAAGTGCAAGCAAATGCTCGAAGAGAGAAAGAAACGGGAAGATGTTAGAAAAAAAGTTTTAGAATTTCACAAAAAAACACCTAGACCTCATGCTAATCATGATCAAAAGCAATATTTGGAGAGAATACGGGATGTGCGTTCTAAATTTAAAATCGAACCAATTGAAGATATGAAACCATGTATTAATAGAACAACAGAACCAGACTTAAACAATTTTGTACCAGAACATGATTTAAAATTGTTTCAAGACGCCCAGGCTTTGGCTAGTGAAATGATTGAAGAGGATTTAAAAAATTTACCTGGGACCAAAGGTAATAATATACTAATAATTTAATATATTAAAAAATATATATCTATTCAAGTTCGTATCATATGGGAAACTTTTTTATTATTTTTATAGGTATATGTTAAATAATATGAATTTTGCTGAAGAGTAAAATGCCTTTATTTTTGACAATCCTCGTATATGACTGATAAAATTCGGTATCAGATGATTGAATTCTAGGTTTTATGTCATAAAGAACTTTTTCCATAAAATTAATAATAAAAAAGGGAAAACTTTTTTATTATTTATTTTAAGAAAAAATGTCTTGTTCATAGAAATTGTGCATGGTCTAAAACCTAAACTACAACCATCAGATCATATTTTATGAATCATATACGAGGTTTGTCAAAAATAAACGTACCTACTTTACTCTTCTGCAAAATTCATATTATTTGACATACCTCGTATACTATTGTAAATATTTGATATCTGATGGTTGCATTTTAGGTTTCATACCAAGCATAACTTTTTATGAAGAATAACTTTTTTCCATAAAGTTAATAAAAAAGGTTCCCATATGCTGCGATGGCCTAACATGACAAGCTTGCCTACTAGATCTTTATAATATTAAATGAAATGGTTGGTATTATATAGTAAAAAATCAAGGTATAACTCAGGTGATTGGAGAAAATAAAGAAAATATTTGAAAAATGTATGAGGAACCATCCAAATCACAGTTTTAGAAAATAAAATGCGGTATTTGGTTGGTACATGCATCGTAAGCCCCTATATGACATCAAATCTTCTCCTAGTGCAGTGTTATAGGTCTCCATGCAGATAAGACAAAAAGTCTTCTTCTTCATTGAATATAATTATTTATTTTATTTATTTATTTCACCTTATAATTGTACAAAAAAATTATACAACGTTTATCGTGAAACATATGGTAATTATAAAAATACATAAAATTATATACCTAAAAAAAATTTTAGAAAAAAAAAACCTAACAAAAACATGAATTATTATATAAAATATTCTTCTGTGGAATAGCAGTTTTTCTCTAATAAAAGTTTTTTTACATTAGACTTAAAAGTGAAGAGATTAATCTTGTTCTTTATGCCATCTGGAAGGATATTATAAAATTTACAACCCATATACTCTAGATTCTTTTCAAAAAGTGCGGTACGGTGTCTAGGTATTAGTAATTGGCTTTTGTTTCTTGTGTTATACTCATGAGAAGCACGCTCGGCAACATATATTGATCTGTTCTTATGAATGAAAGTACATGCTTCTAATATATATACCCCAGCCAGTGTCAGAATTTTAAATTTTTTAAAAAACTACATGAATCTCTTATTCTCAGTTTCGCAATAATTCTTATCATATATTTTTGAAGAACAAAAACTCTGCTTGGCAGAACAGGTACCCCAATTAAGTATGCCATATTTCAAATGAGAGTGAAAATTTGCATGATACACTGTTAAGAGTGTACTTTTACTACAATGATTGGCAAGAAATCTAAGACTAGCAACTTTTTCGTAATTTATTATTACACAGGTTATCATCAATATGTGAATTCCAGGTTATGCCATAATCAATAGTGACTCCTAATATTTTAATATTTTCTTCAGATATAATTGGATTATTAGTGTTTTCAAATAATTGGTTTTGTATAAATTGTCCATTATTATTAAATAACATATTAGTTTTAGTTTTGTTTAATTTTTTTATGTTATTTTATTCCGACCACGATAAAACTTGATTATATGTTCTCTCTGTTGCTATTTTTAGTACATCTGCATTATTTTCGATAATTAAAATATCTGTGTCATCAACGTAACAAGTTCCAGGAGTAGCATTCAAGGAAGTGATTAGGTCGTTGGCAAAAACTAAAAATAAAAATGGCCCAAAAATCGATCCTTGGGGAAACCCTTGTGAAACTTCCAGCTCCAAACTAGGAACATTATTCACTTGAACAATTTGTCTTCTATTTGATAAATATTCCAATAAGTCAATTGGAGAAATAGATATGCATTTTTTTTTACTAAAAAGTATATTTTTATGTATAACATATTTTTATTTTCAGGTACAAAGTACATTGAAATGGGAAAATTTGAGATGGAAGTCTGGTATCAGAGTCCTTACCCCGAAGATTATGCCCGATTACCTAAACTTTACATATGCGAATTTTGTCTGCGATATATGAAATCACACACTATTCTTCACCGTCATGTTGTTAAATGTGTATGGCGACATCCTCCTGGAGAGGAAGTCTATCGTAAAGATAAGATTTCAGTATGGGAGGTAGATGGTAAAAGGTACAAACAATACTGCCAAAATTTGTGTCTTCTTGCAAAGTTTTTCTTAGATCATAAAACTTTATATTACGATGTAGAACCGTTTCTTTTCTACGTAATGACAATGGTGGATAACGAAGGATGTCACACTGTTGGGTATTTTAGTAAGGTGAGAATTTATTCAATAAAACTAAAAAGGTACATGCCTATAAACTAATTTTTAGTGTCAATGCAAACATTTAATGATTAATATCTATATTTTTTTATTTCGACCGATTTTGAAGTTATTTAACCTTATTTTCTGGCAGACCTAGTGGAACAAGATAATATATGGGGAAAAAACTAATTGTATGTACTGAAACTTTAAAAAAACTTCCCATATTATCCTTTCACTAGAGAAACTACAAAAGTACAATATAAAAAACAAGGTTCCTGAAAATGCAGGCAAAATGGTTTACTCACATGTTGCACACTATATTTTTTAAGGACCACACTTTTAGAGATACTAAAATGTAAAATAATATTTTAACAACGTAACATTACATAGATATATTGTATTTAACTAACTAAAAGTAATTTATACATCATTTTTCATATAACTTATTTAAATTGTTAATTAATGGTCAAATTAGAACAACAAACTGTTATTGTGCGACTTCTCTGGTCTTTTCTGCGATATCTGAAGGAGTATCTTCCATATTAGAACCTGATGAAACTTGGTCTAAGGAATAAATAGACAAATTTAGGAAACAAAGATTATAGTCTTAAGGCTTGGCCAGCGCCCTCAATTTAAAATGGTTTTAAAAAATATACTAAATAGATTACGCTAGTATGTCCATTTCGGTAAATTAAATGTTCCAATTAAAAAAATCATTATGAATATGCATATCCGTAAAACACCAATTAATCTGGCGGATTGTATCGACAACTAACTGTAAAATTGAATTTCTAGAGAATTTTGGTATTGTATTGGCATTATTGAGACAGTGTTGTCAATTCTAATTATTTATAAAGTACCTATATTAAATAACAAATATATAAAATTTTAAATATACCTATATAATATATAAGCAATGTATATTTCTATAGGTTACAAGGTCAATGACATTCTTTAAACATCAAATAATAAAATTACATATTACCCAGACAGCACACCAAATCCTTTGGATATCTACTGAACATCCCAATATCCACTGAATGTCCAGTCCATGGTGGATATCTATTTTATATCCATGAAATGTAATTTATAGACATGCAAATGTCCATAAATAATTGTAATTATATAGCAAATTATTAAAAAATTACGCCATTGTACTCGCCATTGTGGCTAATAGTACCGTTGAGATATTTAAAATTAATTTTTTTTAAGGTGTATTCAATATCCCATGGACATCCACTATAAATATATCAAAGTCTAAGCGCGGACGCAAACCATCGTGGATATCTACTAGATGTAATTTTTGATTTTGCTTCCTAAGTATAGATGGCGATACCACTTTCGTATCTACTCATGCTTAACCCGCCGTAATTGAGTTTGATCGACATTGTTTCACAAACAGACTTCATTAGAGACTGAAGTCGAGAAGTTCCATTTATTGCTGAAGATTCCTAATAAGGATGATTTTCTCCTTAGTAGGCAAAATCAAAGGCAGATTGTTGGGAATATTTTTTACCTCTATTTTCTTTCGACGTTATTCAATAACCATTGGTTACTTATGAACCTCTACTAAAAATAATTATAAAATATTTATCTGAATTTCTATATCCTGGGATTTCTTGTATTGTCTGGAGATACTCATTAGATATTTTGCTGAATATCCATAGGATATCTTCTATATTCTGGATATAGACGGACATTTGGATATCCATATTAGTTCCACGGAATATTTCTGATATCCTGTGGATATATTGGATATCCACAAAATATATTCTGTGGATATCTCTGGGATTTGGTGTGTTGTCTGGGTATAGTTCGTTGCATGTTATAAGAAATGGAATTCCGAAATCACACTATAGACAGGGTCGGCATGAGCAATGTGTGTAATGAAAATGGACAAACATGTTTTTTAACATTATTTATTACGTGACAAATTATAAGAGACGGTATTTCCATCGTTACTGTAAATAGTATTTCAGGATTAGCACTAGGGACAAGTAATTTTAGATACTTTTACGAGTACCAAAATAGACGTTTAGTTTTTTAGCTATAAAATGAAATAAAATTATTTATACAAAAACTCTGATTTAAGGATTACCGCTATTGTCATTTTCACTAAAATCACTGTCACTACTTTCTGCTACGTTAATAATGAATCTTTGTGGAGTCCTTATTAAATATTTATTCTCAATAGCAATAACTTGTTTAATCACGTTCGCCTAATGTACATTAGTAATTTTATTAAATGCATGTTTTATTAAATTAATAACATTCTCACTTCCCAGACAACACACCAAATCCCAGAGATATCCACAGAATATATTTTGTGGATATCCAATATATCTACAGGATATCAGAAATATTCCGTGGAACTAATATAGATATCCAAATGTCCGTCTATATCCAGAATATAGAAGATAGAAGATATCCTATGGATATTCAGCAAAATATCTAATGAGTATCTCCAGACAATACAAGAAATCCCAGATATATCCATAGAATATATTTTGTGGATATCCAACCAAATGTCCGTCTATATCCCAGGATATAAAAATTCAGATAAATATTTTATAATTATTTTTAGTAGAGGTTCATAAGTAACCATGGTTATTGAATAACGTCGAAAGAAAATAGAGGTAAAAAATATTCCCAACAATCTGCCTCTGATTTTGCCTACTAAGGAGAAAATCATCCTTATTAGGAATCTTCAGCAATAAATGGAACTTCTCGACTTCAGTCTCTAATGAAGTCTGTTTGTGAAACAATGTCGATCAAACTCAATTACGGCGGGTTAAGCATGAGTAGATACGAAAGTGGTATCGCCATCTATACTTAGGAAGCAAAATCAAAAATTACATCTAGTAGATATCCACGATGGTTTGCGTCCGCGCTTAGACTTTGATATATTTATAGTGGATGTCCATGGGATATTGAATACACCTTAAAAAAAATTAATTTTAAATATCTCAACGGTACTATTAGCCACAATGGCGAGTACAATGGCGTAATTTTTTAATAATTTGCTATATAATTACAATTATTTATGGACATTTGCATGTCTATAAATTACATTTCATGGATATAAAATAGATATCCACCATGGACTGGACATTCAGTGGATATTGGGATGTTCAGTAGATATCCAAAGGATTTGGTGTGCTGTCTGGGTTGATATTGGAGTAATATTGTTATCACGAATATCTTTTTTTAATTGAGCCCATAATAATTCTATGAGGTTAAAAATGCAATAATAAGGAGGCAACCGCAGAATATCGTGTCCATGACTTTTTATAATGTTGTCTACTACATACTCATGCTCTAAAACTTCTAGTAGCTGCTTTTTAGTATAAGTATCTTCAAAATATAAATCATTTTCCATTAAAAATTGTTGGATCACAGGTTTAGTTGAACTTTTGGTTGGAATTTTGCGAACTAATCTGGAATGATAGGACGCTGTTATTATGTATTTTTAGAATTAAATCATATTCTAGCCATTTTTCAAATAAATCTCCATCAATATCTTGATGATAATATAGACTTCATTTTTTATATCCTTAGCCGATAATAATAGAGCATCCTCCACCCAACCAGATGCTCCTCCATAATGTAAGATGCATATTCTTTTACCCCTGGCTGGGGGTACATCAGCTACGCATTTTTTACTACCATCAGACCAACTTTTTTTTGTAATTTCATGAGTGTCCAAATAATACACAGTTCGTCCTTCACTACGAAATTGCCGAATTTTTTCAATATAATCTTGTCTCCATTTTACCAATCGATAAGATTCCTTGTCGTTTGTCCACCACTTTAAATCTAAAACCATGTGATCTTAAAAATCTCCACAAAGCAATTTCCTATTATCATTTTGTTTTTTAAAGTTTTCATTGGTTTGCTTAAATTTGGGAAGTTGTTTGCATCATACATGTCATATAATGTTTGTCTGATAGGTTCCAATGAATGCCTTGGTATACAACGAGAAGAACCGAAATCGTTTCGCGAATGCCGAGGTTATGCTCCATTTTTTATAATTTTAGCTACTAATGAAGCAGACATATTAGTTAAAAATATTGTCCGCTCCACAGCGGCTGATTGTGGTAACTCCAATTTAAGTTCTGCAAATAAATAAAATAGTATTTATCAACAGATCCTCCCAAAAAACTGTTTATAACGTATGCATACAATTTAATAAGAAAATAGATAAACCACTTATTATTGTATACGTTCAGAAAGGTTTAGCATCCACCGATAGATGAGTGCGCTTTATCTTTATCAAAGCAGACACATCCACATTAATTTCGGGAATAAATTCATCACTTTCTAACTCCATTATTTTAACATCACAAACTTTATCGACAAACTATAAAACAGAAATAAATCAAGTTTGTTAACGATGGTCGATGGTCAGTTCAACCCTGCCCTTTCAACTGCGCAGAGTATTACAACAGTACCTCTATACAGACAAGGGCATTTAATTGTGATACTTATTCACTACTCACTTATTTAATACCTAATCTTCACCATTGTTAATTAACCCTTAACTCGTCCGGCGTCGTCTGACAGACTACGCGATATAAAAAATTATTTCTTATTGGTTATTGGAACCTCTCACAGGCAGGTCCTTACATCTAATCCTTTCCCTATTGGAGCTTGACAAGCTGGCATCAGTTTCCTAAAAGCTGTGGCAGAAATTAGTTTAAAGATAGTGAACTTTGGCTCATGCTGGAAATCAACTGTTTTTTTAGATTTGTATTTTATGTAAGTTTTTGTTTATCTAACACTTTGACAATTTAATATTGCGATATGAAAGAATTTTTCTTTTTTTTTTCTTGTATTTTTTGCCTTTCGTCTACAAATATGTACTTTTTCAAACTTTCTGTGCGGGTTATAGTTTTGGGTTTAATTTCGTTTTTATTTAGTTTTAAATAATTTATAAATGCATCGTTTAGCTATTTAACCCGACAATTGTAATAAGTATTGTACTAAAATAAAAAATAAATATTGACCGACCT